GTGCACCTGAAATGATGATCGAACATGCACCAACTCTTGGCACTATCTGTATTTTGGTTGAGCAATTCATTAAGAAGATTCCCATATGTTGCAAACTTAAATGACCACACTGTATATTGAAATTATGCTCATATTATTATTTTGTAGAAGCGAGGAGGGAAAATCCCAAATAATCAAAGAAAATGTATGTAACACCTCCTCGATCAACCAACAGGCGGTATTTCGAGCCGCCATTGCTTGAGATTTGACATTTCATGGAAGATGAATGAAGTCATTATGATATCCGAAACGCAAATGAAATTGATCACATACAAAGTACCTCATTGATCACATACAAAGTACCCCATTGACGAACGGAACATTTTGGTATATAAACGAATTGGGTCCAATCAACTTATTTTGACCTCTACTTCAAGTAGAGCAATTTTGGGACACCCTATATATAATCTATAACTGAAGTCATGTGAGGGATTTGAGCAAAATTGACAATAAGAAATCACTCGATTCGAAAACTCTTGGAGAGTAGGTTTCCCGAAACGAAATAGCGATATACAAATGCTACAAGTTCTTTATTTATATTATCTACTATTTAATTGGAGAATCAAATTGAAAGGTATACACTCTGATCCAAATCTCAGACCATGACTATAGAAAAGTTTGAAAGTTTGATGTTTTTCTCCAATATTTATATGTTCAGTAATGGTCATACAATGATTCCATTTCTGCCTTATAGAATCTCCGAGAATAGATTCACCTATTATGCATAGAAAACATCGTTATATTCACATGTCTGATGTTTTGTTATATAATTTTTCAACAAAAAGAATGATATATACTTCTTTATCTTGATACAATCAAATTATCATGTCAATATCTTCCTGATTCGGATCAAACAGATTATCAAACACAAATACTACAATGTACGAACCTTTCTCAGCCCTCTAGAATTCTTCATAAAACAGTTTGAATCAGATTTGAGTAGGTATAGCAAGGAATTTCTATCGATTCAACTTGGCAACAATGCGCTACCGCTTGTTCCGAGTCTCCACGCGTCTCACACATTCTGGTATATTGACGGTCTGTCGATGTACGGTTCTGATGTTTTACGGGTCTGTCAATGTACGGTTCTGCCATTTTACGGTTCTACTATTTCACGGGTCTTAATCCAAAAAATTCTGAAAATTTACGGGTTTGGTAGCTGCACGATTCTGCCATTGTACGAGTCTGTCATTTTACGATTCTGATGTTTTACGGGTCTGTCGTTTTACGGTTTTGATGAATTATGGATCGGAAATTCCGGTAGTCCGATGGATTATGAGTCTGTCGATGTACGGTTCTTGCATTTTACGGATCTAGAGTATTGGCAGTCTGTGCTTTTACGAGTCTGTCATTGTACGGATCTTTCATTTTACGGGTATCAAAAATCGACAGTCTGCCTTTTTACGGGTATGAACTTTTCGCATTCTGCCATTTTCAGATTCTGTACATCACAATTCTGCCAGTTTGCTGGTCGGGAATGTTCATTCTGATGAAATGGTGGTCTACAGAGTACGGGTCGCTGAATTACAGTCTGTGCTTTTACGGTTCTATGACTTTACGATTATATATTTTTATGATTCTGACGACATGAAGAGTATTTCATTTACTGGTTTGGCAAAGTACACTTCTGAATATATGGCAGTCTTTCGATATACTATTGTGATTTATGCATTCTGACATAATGCAGTCTGTCAAAGTACGGTTCGACAAATTACGGGTTGTACATATTGCAGTCGCTGAAATATGGTTCTGATGATTTGCTATTCTGATTTCTTACTATTCTAGTCAAATAAATTCCTACTAATCGACGGTCTGTGTCGATACGTTCTGATGATGTATATGGACCCCTTCTCTTAGGCTCTCTGATAGAAAATTCTTTGAACGCAGTGATATTATATGACGTGTCCTGACTACATGAAATGGTTCATATTTCAATTTTGCCTATGTTTCGCTTAAATATCTTATTCTTTGAGAAAATTCGTTGAGAATGCAATGAAATGTACTCACTAGAATTGAAATCACGAGTCCAATCTGGATCAGTAACGAGGAAACGGAGGAAATAAAGTCATTTTTTCTTCAGTTCTCCAAAGTTGCCGTAAAAAAAATTCTACTATTTTGAAAAATTTTCAAACCGTATCATCCTGAAGTTAGGTAAACTATCAATACGAATATCTGTTTTTTTTTATTTATGAATCTAACATGTTTCAGAACGTTTATGCATATTTATCTCAAAAACAGTTCGTTTATCGGAAAAAATTAAAGATCTACACAATTTGATCACTGAAAGATGCCAGAGGCGTACTACGAAGAAGTTTGGAGGAGATAAAAAGCCTCTACCTCCAAAAACGTATCACCCTGTAGATTTTGAAAATCTTCAAAATGCTTGAAATGATGATCTTCTAGGAAGTATTGACTACACCAGATTTCAAAATGATATCTTGAAAAGTAAGCGAGAGTTCAATTGATAAAAAAAATAATTAAACTTTGTCCCCCTGTAGCTCCGCTACTGAACGAGATCGGACTAATGTTTGTATGAACTTTTGTGATTAATATGATGAGATCTATCTCCCATTCCAGTTTGTGCCTTAAAACCTGAATCACCCTGTATATTCTTTAGCGTTATAGGAATATGACAGGAAAACTTCCCAAACATTTTTCGTCAAATGGGAAGCATGGGGAATTCTTCGATATTTTCTAGACTTATAATAGTGAAATATTCATTTTCAGAATGAAAACACGGCAGCAGAATATGTTGAATTATCGCGAAGACATTCAATGTTCCATTTAGTAAAAAATGTGCTTGTTGCGTTTGTTTCAATCAGTAGTTTGATTCATCAAACAATCGAAAATCATCCCAAACAAACCCTGAACAGCATCTATATGCATTCGGCGGTACTAACACAAATATTCTGTGCATCTAACTGTGATGAAGTTATCTGTAATAATTGGATATTTAGTGTATTTACAGAATGCTGTACTGATGAAATACGATTCTGATAGGATACGGTTTTGACGAAATACGGTTTTGACGAAATACGGAACTGACAAAATACGGTTCTGACGAAATACTGTTCTGACGAAATACGGTTCTGACGAAATACGGTGATGATGGAATACGGTTCTGATGAAATACAGTCTTGATGAAATCTGTTTCTGATAGAATACAGTTCCGATGGAATACGGTTTCGTTGAATTACTGAAACTATAAAATACATGCCGATGAATTGATGTGACGATGGAATACAGTTCCTATACGATACGATTTTGATGAATTACGATTCTGATGTTTTACTGAAGCGACGAATTACGGTTCTGATAGAATACCCTAACGATAGAATTAGATTATGATAAATTACCGTGATGATGAAATACTGTTCTGATGAATTACTGTTATTATCAAATACGGTTCTTATCGAACACCATTTTGATGGATTACATTTTGACGAATCACGTTTTGTTATAATACATACCTACAAATTACGGAGCTATGTTTTACAAAGCGATGAAAAACGTGCTTATAGAATACAGTAACTATCAATTACGGTACCTACGAATTACCATTCTGATGAAATATATTATTATAAATTATATTTTGATGCATTATATTCTGACGTTTTGGGTGTTCCCATCACAGCTCACGGGAATTTCAACAACACGGTCAGGGAGAGGATGCAAATGACCCTAGACCAGGTCAAAACATGGATAGATTGGAGAGGGCCTGAATGAAGGTGCCCCAGAATCAACGAAAGTAGCCTTCACTCGACGAAGGGAGCTAGTGGAACTAGGTCCTCCAAGACTTTAAAGAACCGAAATCCAGTAGTTGTTCTAGGAGAGTTGAGTACCTCGTGGAAATTCTGAACTCAGAACTCACTTGGAACCAACAACTAACTGGCAAAAGTAAAGAAGAAAGCCAAGGCATCACTAATGATTGCCAGACGGGCACACGGAAAAACATGGGGGCAAAGCCCCAAAATTATGTATTGGACATACAATATTGTGGTGAAACCCATGATCACATACGCATCTTTGATATGGTGGACATAGATGAATCAAATAAAAGCCACGGCTAAGTTGAGCAACGTACAGAGACTCGCATGCCTCAGTATAACTGGAGCTATGAGAACTAAACCAACAGCAGCCGTGAAAGCACTACTGAACCTCTCCCCGATAGACATAGTTATCAAGGAAGAGGCTAGAATGAGACATCTGAGGCTACAAAACACGAGCGATGAATCGAGACAAAACAAGATAAAGGTAATATTGAGAGGAAACAATATTGAAATAAAATCAACGGACCTCATTATTCAAATATATTGCTGCAACATTCTTCGAGGTGATCATGCAAGATCGAAAAAAATGGACAGATGACAACATCAAGGACCTGGAAAGAAGATCTGGTACACAGACGGGTCCAAGACCATGGAAGGCTCTGGTGCTCGAATTCACAGTGGAGGAAGGAACTCTCAAATGAGCTCCTCACTGATAATAAATACTTCCAAATTTCAAGCAGAAACGTACGCAATCTTGCAATGTCCAGGAACAAACAACATGAGGAAAGTGCGGAATGCACGAATCAAAATATGCACCGATAGCCGGGCGTCACTGATAAAAGCTCTCACGAATCCGAAAGTGACATCCAGACTGCTACGGAAATGCAGAGAAGAACTCAATATCCTGTCAGAACTCAACAAAATTATGCTGTTTTGGGTTCCAGGACATTGCTGTTGTGATGAATTAGAAATAATATGAAATAAAACAGACCCTGTTATATAGTTTCTGAGGTGACTTATGTTGTTTCCACCTCAATTATCTATGTGAATTTGAACTGCTGGTCGTTTCAACCCTCGAGAGCGTGTGATTCAAATCATGCAACTATTCACTGAATGGGATGGAAGTCGTGATAGTTGTTGTGAAACATCGAAAATTCTAGCCGTATCATTTAATCAAATTCATGTACTCACCAAGATTAATCTTTGTGATATCTCCTTCAATACCTATCACTTTTTTGATGACTGCCATATTATCTCTTCTCAGTTGATCGAATAACTACAAAACAAAGTGTTATTTGGATCATTTCATATAGAAGGATAGTTGAAAAGAGTTCCAATGAGGATCAGTGGAGTTCACGAACACGAAAAGGAATACAAATGGGCCTAACCCAAAAGCAGTATTCACAGATATGTCATACATTATCTCATCATACAGATATTTTAATACTGAACAAATCGAATATCAATTACAAAGTTGATGAAATTCAATAATCGGAGTAATTAATGATTGAGTAGGTACAACATATAGTGATTGTAGTGTGTTGATACAAACAAGAGTGAAATAACTTTTTTCAGCACATATTAAAACGTTAACATACATATATCAAAATCGAGTAGGTGATGTTGATTGAAATTCCATGAAAGTTGCAACTTCAAGTAGACGTAAAATGGATTTTCAACGAAATGATGAAAAGTCATTTCACGTCCATCTGAGTTTATGGATGGTTGAACGTTAGATGGGCGTCTATTGAACACACAATTTTAAATATCCAATCATCACCTATTCAATGTGTTACGGTTTATTCCCATCGTAGTTTCTTTGGTTCGTCAGTGGCGCAGCGCTTATTATTTGAGTATCATTCTTTGACCTATTTTGTCGTCGATGAGCTTTACAGCCCCAGCGGTGCGAACATTATGCGGAACGTCACATATCAAAAGTGGAAGAGCTGAGGCTGCGTTGTGTAGTTTATCAATCCTGGAGCGAGAACCAAAAATGTTCGAACTGTTAACAGTAAGGATCCCTGGTTTAGTGCGTCAGCCTACCTAAATTAACTCATTAGCTCCGTGCGTTGCCATAGGGCATCGCAAGTCATGTGGAAATTCAAGTTAATCCTGAGCACTCAAATTCTCAGCTATAAGAAAAAAAGGAAGAGAGACGCCATTCCTCAGTTGTGAGTGAGCTGCTTTGGGCACGCTTATTTGTAAAACCTTGAGTTTATTCGAATTGACGTTGAATATAAAAAAAGCAGGGATTTTTTTTTGTGTAGAATATTTGGATCCAATATTCCTGTTGATATCTGGCAACGCTAGGCTCTTAAACTTGGCGAATGATGTGACTTACCGGCCGAGCCAATGGATGTTGAACCGTTGGCCCAACAATCTCCTCTTCAGGATTCTGCTAATACTTTCATAATTCCAATATGTGATGTGTCAAATACTTGGATGACTAAGCGCGAATCGACAAAGTTTTTCAGCACTTTCCAGAAGAAACCAGGTGGTGGGCGCTGTTTTTTGAGGTGATCAAGCAGTACTATTCGAATATGGGCGAGTTTGATCATATGAAGAGAAAGAAAGAATTTTATTCATCTATGAGGACTATACATTACACATATGACAGAGATATAGTACAATGCACCATCCTATCAGACTAGTCAGTTAACAAAAAACAAAATGAACAAACAACGGACAATGACATGCTTTATAATAATGATTATATCTAAAAGGGACATTATTATATCGGACAATAATTTATAATAATAGGTAATTTTTGAAATTCGAGGAATTCCTCAACACTATCATTCATTCATTTTATTTCTAATCGTATTGAAGCACTTGATTACAATGTGCTTTGGTGACTGCTGACCTACGTGTAGTCGTGAGAATGGTTGATGGACATTTGATTTTTGTATGGTGTTCATTTTTGTCAAAAGCTTCCGCATTTTTTTTTAACATACAGTATTGAGTGCAGAATAAAAAGACTAGGTTACGTCAGAATCTCTGACTTTTTGAAAAATAATTTACATGATGTGATTGATGACACCTTATACATAGCTCTCAAGACTTTCTTCTGAGCTACGAAAGCTCTATCGAAGTGAAGTGAGGCACCCTAAGATATTAACCCAAATTGAAGGGTTGCCTGCACTAGTTCATAATAGAGAAGTTTCAATATGTGAAATGATACAGTTTTTTCAAGATTTCTTATCATATAACAATGAGTACTTAATTTTGAAGTAACAATGTCAATATGCTCTTCCCAAGTGAGCTTTGCATCTATTGTTATTCCTAAGAATTTGATAGTTTCAACACGGCTCATGATCAGGTTTTGAATTTCTTGACAGAAAACGCATGGAATGCGTTATTGGCACATTCAGAGTTGGTCCATTTTTCTTGCAGTACTGATCAAATTCATAGGATGCCTTGTTACTGTTCTGAATGAGTTGTTCAATTTCATTATTTGACATGAGAATATCAGTATCATCAGCATATTGAATAATTTGTTCGGTATCTGAACAAAATTTAGTGATATCACTTATAAAGGGGCGTATCTTCATTAATGAACATTTATCACCATTCTTCAAACAGCTCTTTAGAAAAGCTAGAGAGGCATGCAAAAAACATAACTATAAGTTTTGCTGGATAAGAGATGGTGAAATATTCGTCAAAAAGACTGAATCCAGTCGTCCAATACACATCATAGATGAAGAAATCCTTCGTATTTCAGTCAGAGCCTAACTAACTCACATTTATACCAGTCATCTTTCTGGATATTCAGCTTGCAGAATTCGATAATCCAAGACTATTCTATCAAACTAATGAATTTTATCAATCAGTGTGTAGTTGCGAATTTCAGTTCATCTGTATAACAGAAACTTGGCTAAACGACAGTGTGCTGTCTTCCGAACTATTTCCACCATCGTATATTGTGCACAGAAACGACCGTGACCCTGTGTTGAGTGGTAAATGTGAGGGTGGCGGGGTTTTAGTTGCTGTAAGTAGTGAGTTTTCATCAATGCACATCCCTGAATGGTCCAGTACAGGGTTGATTGAAGATATATGGATCACCGTTACGCTGAACGATGGTAAAAAACTATTACTCTGTTGTGTGTATGCTCCACCAATCTGTAAAGCTGTTGACTATATTAATCACATGAACAAAGTCGAAGAAATTATAAATGCCAACCATAATGACTATGTGATAATTATTGGTGACTATAATTTACCGAATTTACAATGGCGTGAAACGGCATATACAACTGATGGTTTGATACCTTTCAACGTTTCTGATAGCATTAGTGAATTATTTGTTAATAACATTTATTTGCTAGAACTTGGTCAATTCAACAACATTCAGAATTATTATAGTAAAACTTTAGATCTTGCTTTGTCCAAAAATGTCCCTTTAAAGGTAACAGCCGGTAGATATCCCTTTGTCAAGGAAGACAAGCATCATAGGTCGATAGAAGTTGATTTCTCCTTACACATAGAAAAGTACCTTCCGAAAAAAAGTTACGAAAGGCTGCTATTTTCAAAAGCGGACTATATAGGATTAAATGAACATTTCGGCTCCATATCTTGGACAGACAGTTTACACAACCTCGGGGTGGACGAGGCGGTTGATGTTTTTTATGATATTATTGATCAAGCAATTGAACTATTCGTCCCCAAACTGAAAGTTAGGAATTCCAATTTTCCAGCTTGGTTCTCCAAAAACACCATTAAACTTGTCAGAGACAAAGAAAAGTTTCGTAAACTTTGGAAGAGGTTTGACAATCAATCTGATTATGATCTTTACTGTTTTTTCAGAAGGATTTCAAAGGCTCACATAAAAACAGATCACAAAAAATTCCTCAAAAAATCAGAAGACAACATAAATCGTAACCCAAAACTTTTCTGGTCGTATCTATCAGCGGTAAAAAAAAGCCACATGCTTCCACAGAATATGCGACTTGATGACATATCTGCCTCTGATGACAGATCAATTTGCGGATTATTTTCATCATATTTCAATCAAGTATTTGAGCCTGACTCCACGCCTTCACTCCTCGAAGTCGAAGCACCGAAGGGTAATTTCGACATTAGAGTTATAACAAAAAAACAAATAATCAATGTTTTAGCAGGAATGGATATAAATAAAGGGGCGGGATCAGACGGAATTCCTGCCATTTTCTTAAAGTCGTGTAGACACAGTTTAATCGAACCTCTGTACATTATTTTCAATAGGTCATTGACACATGGTGTGTTTCCTGAAAAATGGAAACTTGCTTAGGTCATACCCATTTTCAAATCAGGTAATAAGAATGATGTCAAAAATTACCGACCCATTTCCCTACTTAATTTGTTAGGTAAAATATTGGAGGCCATAATCACAAATGAACTTTTTTTCTTGCCAAAAAATTATATTTCGGTCCATCAGCATGGTTTCTTCAAAAAAAGATCAGTCGTTACTAACTTGTCACCTTATGTTCAAGATATTCACGAACAGATGGAGAGAAGGATACCAGTGTGTGCCGTGTACACCGACTTTTCCAAGGCCTTCGATAAGGTACACCACCCGACCTTGTTAATTAGGCTTGGAAACTTCGGTGTGCAGGGCAACTTGCTTCAGTTACTTTCCTCATACATAAGTAATAGAAGTCAGTACGTGGCTATTAATAACTGTGCGTCAAGATCTTATAGTATAACATCCGGAGTACCACAGGGATCCCATCTGGGTCCTCTGCTTTTCAGCATATTTCTCAGTGACGCTGAAAAATACCTAAAGCACTGCAAAATATCCATGTATGCTGACGACATCAAAATTTTTAAATACATTAACGAAGATTCGGATATTATAAAGTCACGAACTGATATAAATAATTTTACCAAGTATTGTGCCACATATCGGCTTTTCTTGAATATAAAGAAATGTCACCAGATTACTTTCACTCGAAATCTGAACCCCACTATGATTCAACTACAATTGAATGATGTCCCCATCAATGTAGCTTCTGAGGTGACTGACTTGGGAGTGAGGCTTGATGGCAAACTCTCTTTTGAAGCTCAAATTGAACATATTGTGCAAAAATCTTTGAGGACCCTAGGTTTCGTTCTAAGAAGCACTACAGAGTTTCAGGACTACCGATCTGTGATTAAAATTTTTAACTCGTTAGTCAGGCCAACACTTGAATACTGTAGCACTATATGGAATCCTGCGTATGATAAATACATTAAACGCATCGAATTTGTTCAGAAAAAGCTCGTCATTGTTCTCAATTACAGGTTTCATCGGTACAGACATTACTTTTCATACCAAAGTAATCTGACTTTTTATAGGCTAGAGTATCTCACCATGAGACGTGATTTTATTGACATTTATCTTGTGTTCAAAATTTTCAATGATCTTATAGACTGTCCACATTTAACTGATCGCTTCTATCTTAGATGTAACCCCTATAACACTCGTGTTGAACAAACCTTCCAAATTCCTCACTACACGAATAATTACTCAGGCAATGCACCCATCACACGTTGTATCATAACATTTAATACCATGGTAAGCGACTCCTCTATCGATATATTTCGTGCCTCAAAATCCATGAAAAAAAAAGTTGAAGGAACTTCTTGTATCGATGTATGTTGCTCTCCCCTGATGAATGTGATGAATTGATCAAGTTTTGCATACGTTCGTATGGCTTTCTTTTTCTCTCTTCTCCTTTTTTTCCTCTCCTATTGGATAAGTTCTTATTTGTATCATTGATGAATTACACAAACTTATTACTTTGTTTGCATGTGTATTTTTGCTATCATTTCTCATTCCTAATTAATTTTTGTATCTTTTATTTTTTGCACAATTATTATAACTGCATTTATAACTCACAAAATGTTCACCCATAATAGATATTTATTTTCTGTTTATTATTAGGATTCTAGATTTAGGTACGCATATGTATGTATTATTTTGTAATATGTGCCTCCTTGTCATTGGGCTTGCGCCTGTTAGGGGGCCTGCACATAAATAAATAAATAAATAAATGAATAAATAAAGATGATAAAAAATAAAGGGCAAGCATCAATCCCTGTGGTACACCCAAAGTGGATTCACAAGGAACAGATCTAGCATTATCAGTTATAACAAATTGTGTTCGGTTTGATAGATGGGAGTCTGCCCAATAATAAGGCCTTCCACGTATTTCCATTCCATCCATTTTCTGCAGTAAGAAATTGTGACCTACTGTGTCAAATGTACGGCTGAGGTCATAGAAATGCCTCAATGTATTTTTTCATCATTACGTGCTTTATAAATCAAATCTAAACAGTCTGAAATGGCAGTTGCTGTAGACTTGCCCTATCTTAAACCATTCTTAATGGCTGGTAATATGCTGAACGGCTCGAGGTAGTCACTAAGCCTCAGATAATAAGCTGATTCAAATACTTTCGTGATTTGGCTAGGTATACGAATAAGGCGATAGTTTCTCATATCTTCTGCTGACCCTTCATTTTTATAAATAGGAATTCCTTTGGATTCTTTCATGACAGAAAAAGAGCCCGACATGAAAGATTCGTTAATAGTGGTGCCCGCGAGAGTCTCGTTTTCGAGAGTCTCGCATGGTCTCGTCTCGTTTTCGAGACAAGACTCGAGACAAGACTCGGACAAGACGAGACGAGACTTTTATTGGTCTTGTCTCGAGTCTCGTGCAAGACTTCTCGTGTCTCGTGCGAGAGTCTCGCAGGTAAATATTTCTGCGTGCCGACTGCAGACTTGAGAATTTCATTCATAATACTACATATTTAGAAAGAGTTCAGACTATTTAGCACAGATAGACAAAACATTTCATTCATGAATACTTCAAAAACACAATCCATGATCTCTTATGGCGACGGGAAATAAAGGTAATTCTGCAATAACGACAGATCGCATATTCAATGACTACCTGAGAATCTATAAATAAGTCATTTTGTGCTAAATAGTCTAAGATTAAGAATAACTTTGTTTTGACGGGAGTATGGATGCAGGAGCTTCAAAAATACTATTCTGTGTGATAAAAACACAGATATATTGCAATGGTGAAAAAATGCTCCTGAATTGTCCAAGTCCCGGCGGAAAGATTATTCTCTCACGTGCTGCGTTAACTATAAGGAAACATCGGAATCGCCTTAATAATGAATCTGCACGATGTTGAGGAAGGATTTTTTTTTGTTTAGATGTATGATACCTATTAGGTACTTACTTTTCAATAAATAAGTTTATTTTTGTTGTAATTTTGTCTTCCTACTTCTACATTATACCTAGAGAGAAGGTTATGGTAAATATCCCGTACAAGACTGGAACAAGATTATGCATGACGAAATCGCGATACATTTGCGAGACTCTCGTACGAGACGCGAGACAAGACGAGACTGGACGAGACTGGACGCTGCGAGACGAGACTCGAGACAAGACTTCATATTTCATCGGCGAGAAGAGACGAGACTTTATGGAAGTCTCGTCTCGTTGGTCTCGTATGAATCACTATTCGTTAATTAGGTACGAAAGAGGAACGGCTGTAGGTAGATATAGATAGATCATAATATTAGTTATCACCGCATGAGAATTCGTACTGGCCCTTGTTTACTTGAATATTAGACGTAGCCAAGCAGAAAAGCCTGGATAAGAATACCAAGATGTCATCATAATAGCTAAGAGTGTTTAGAAAACTCCGAAAAAGCTTTTTCGCGATATCATCAGCATAGTCTTCAAAAGATTGCATGAAACCTCTTCGAAAACATCAAACGGTACTGGGACTTGAAAGGTTGAAACAAGTCAGATATGGAGAAGTTTCAGCAACGGAAGAAGAGCTCAAAGAAGCCGAAGAGAAAAAGAGAGCTAAGCAAACCAAAGGGTAACTAGCTGTTCCAAGTAGGCATAAAAACAGACACCAAAGAAATATAATGTCAAGGATAGTATAAAGAAACTGTTTGCAGCTCAACTGATTTCATGAATGATGACTCTGACGATGACATGCTCCCATTTTCAACATTCATTTCACAGTTTGTCGACTATAGAGGAGTCAAATGGAAAGACATCGATACAGATATTTTTCTCTTGGTGAGATTTGTTGGACGAGCTAAAAAAGCAACTTTCCACAAATACGTCTGTGAAGTTAAAAGGAAATTTTGAATTGACTCGGCCGTTACTCAATGGAAATCCATGACAAATGTAAAAACTTCACAAATGATAAGATTTCCACAAAATTCTCAAACACACGACATGTTCCGCTAACACAGTAGCTTCGTCAGGTGATATACTGGTACAATGAACTGAACTAACGTTGGCTTGCTAAACTCTTATCAAAATTATAGAACTTCAACCTATTTTGGATCATCGACTGAGAAATTAGCTTCATTTCTACATAAACAGGACTTGAAAGTGGCATATAGAACAAATAACACGTTGGGACGGTTTATCAAGAATAATGAAGAAAAAACTTCTAAATTCGAAAAATCAGGGGTATTCAAACTCAACTGTGGATATTGTCCTAAGGTATATATCGGTCAGACAGGTCGTACGTTCAATCAGCGCATTCATGAACATAAGATGAATTCTATGGAAAAGAAAACAAATTCAACATACGCCAACCATAAATTAGAAGGAGAACATAGTTTTGATGATAATTTCGAAATTCTGCACGTAGAAAATGAAGGACTGAAACTCATATTCACCAATATTATAAACGATGATTGATTGAATTTCGATGAAATATACTCCATGATATATAAACATTCGATATAAGCATCTTATGAACGATTTTTCTCAATTCACGACTGAAGATGAAGGAGCCTTACTTCAACAAAACCATTTACAAATTCCCTGTGTACATCAATTGGGTCAGCGGTTCACCCCTTGATGAAAACTATCAAAATTTGATTCTCATTGATGAAATAGAGGAATTCTTGCTCACGCATGATCGACAACTTCATCTTCCGTCGGTCGGTAAAGTCGGTAGGCACCGGAGTGCCACTTTGCGCACGCAATACCAGGCAGTGAAGTCCTACTTTACGCCAAGTAGAGAGAAAATGATAATCCCACTTTGCATCGCTAACGCGAGACTGTTGAGGTGAGTATTTTAATTCATCGGTAGGAATTCAAATGAATCGATCACCAATTCTTTGTACTCGAGTACCCCATCACCAATGGTCAGAGCAAAAGGTCTTATTGAAGTAAGAAGCCCCCAGTATCATCAGGCACATTGATATAATCACTATTCTGTATGGAGATGAAAATCTGTTGGTACTTACAGGAACATCAAAGAGAGCTCTGACCCTCTCCTGAATATTTTTGTTCTTCTTAGGCCTCACCAAAACGTAAATATTTTTTATTCCTGGACACGACCTCAAAAGTTTCTCTATCAAAACTTTTCCAATGAAACCACTACCACCTGTAATGAAAACACTTTTCCCTTCAAATATTTCGGGTATGGTCTTATTTGGATCAAACGACAACGACATTATTTTCCTTTGACTACCACAGATAGGAGAAAAATGAATTCAAGTGATACGTGCTCATTTGCTTATATGAGTTGCACCAAAAAAATCTCCGAAATTATAATGAATTTTTTATGCAAGATGGTAATTACTGAATGGAATTGATTCAAAGAAACATCTGACCCTGACACGTGCATAATCCAATTAGTTGAGCTTGTGTATTTGTGATTGATCATTATTTCGCTACTACCAAGGTTCAGATACTATTCCGAGAATTTGTTCAATGATGTTCAATGATGAAAACTAGACGGATAGATTGTGTATGAATAGGCGAATAATGAGGAAAAGGTGATTCGTAACTTGAATAATGATTTTCCCAACAAGTGCGAGAAGTGATACATTCCCGCATGCGAATGCCGTAGTTCGCGTCGTTCGGGTAAGCAGTCGAGTGCGAGATAGACACTTTCCGCAAGAGTTAGAAAAAATATTTTTTCAACAAGCGTAGGAAATTGATTGATTTGTTCAATTATTAGTAAAAGCGATGAACAACGTCATCTGAGAATTTTTTGTCGAAAGGAATTGTAAAACGAGATATCTTGGCATGACATTTCCGTTTACCAATGGCAAGTCATTCGTTCTGAATTATTAACTCATCAGCATTGAATGATGTTCAAGAAAAGTTGTGAAGAGAATCCTTCCCAAACCTTGAAACTTTTATTTCATCCATTATTATTTATCTATTTTTACTTATGTCTATTGGTGTCAATATTCTCCTTGAAAATGACACATATCCTCGCACAAATTGAAATATTCGCCTATGACGAACCGGATTCGATCATTCAATATGTATATACCAGGCAAAAAATGAATACAAGCACACTCACTTTAGTACTGAGTTTCTCTGCCTGGGCTTACGGCTTAGCGGAAGGCACATTGTGATACAGGGTCATTCCGTACATTAATACAGCTTCTACAGGGTTCATCATTGGAGATAGAGAAAAACTTCAAAGCAAAAGTTGTAGGGTTTGTTCTGAACCTCCAAAAAATTATACCAGTTGGAACAAATGAATATCGCTGATATAAATAATGGGTACCAACTTCTTATTCTCAACGGAATAACCTATATATATTATATTTCTCGAAATAAAAAACAAGATCTCTTCTTACTGATTCCAGAAATATATAGGTCATTGATATTGGGTTCAGCCGTTTTCGAGATAATCGAGGTTGAACGTTTTGGATTTAACCAAATCGCAGCTGCCATGAGAGAAAAAAAAAACTCACTTTAATAACTGGAGGAGTTGCGATTTCACAGTTCGATGTGACCACTGTTGTTTTGTATACATTTTCTGTAGTAGTAGTGATGATTGTTCAATATTTTTATGCATTCCAAAATTTTTCCTCTCAAATCAGCCAAATTCTTACTTCTTTCCTTATACACTTCATTCTTCAAATAGTCCCATAGGACGTTATCAAAAGGTGTTGAATCTGGATTGTTCGGCGGCCATTCCACTGTTCCAAATTTTCCGATCCACGTTTGATAACGATCATTCAAGTGATGCATAGGCTGATGATGGGCATAATTTGATGAGGTGGCTCGAGCTTCCACTGCACCATTATTATTTTTGTAGAAAAAAAAATCATTTCAATCTCTTAATCTTCACTGAAACCCATATTTATTTCAAAATTCTATGCAATGAACATATGACAGAACGTTTTATTGATGACAACTTGCGTATGTCTTGTTTTTTCCTCATGGCCATTGCGATTTAGTGGAATCAAATTAAAACTAAATCTAAAATGTTTAACCTCGAATATCTCGAAAACGGCTGAATCAACTATCAATGACCAATTCATTTTTGGAATCAGGAAGAAAAATCTTACATTTTTTCTAAAAATATATAGGGTGATCTATTGAAAATAACGAAGTTGGTACTCATTTCTTATATCACCGATATTCATTTGTTTCATCTGGTATAATTTTCTGGAGGTTCAGAAGTAACCCCACAACTTCTGCATTCGAAGTTTTTCTCTATCTTCAATAATGAGCCATGTAGAAGCTGTTTGAGTTCACGGAATGACCCTGTACACTCCGTCAGATACGTATATATTCTATTCATATGAACGTGAAAATAATGAAAATTCAACAATTCTCATGGAACATCAGCTGTTAATCGTTATGATTTTGACTGATGCTTCGAATTACTGATGTTTGAATTTTGTCGAATCCATGAGGAAAATCGAATTTCATCAAAATATGGATCTCATTGTCAAATGGAGTTATGCCAACGTACACAATCTGAGTTCAATCTCATGAGCCGTTTCGACGTTATGAAGCATAAACTATTTGAGAATTGTATCTTCAGAGTCGTCTTGCGCCCAAACAAACAAACTTTGAACTGAGGTAAGTTCACATGTATCGAATTATTTTATAGAAAATATTAATGAGAAATAAGTGGTGAAATTCTGGAAAGACCTTTGAGGGACACCCTGTATAACAATATACCATGAAATTCAAATTGAGGAACCTGGAGATGAAAAAAATGAGCGAAAAATATAACCTTATCAATATTTAATAGAAATACCAGTCTTACAGTGTAATATAGAAATTAAATATAACTTCACTCAATTGAAGTTCTCAGTTTTTTATAGTGGATTCAATTCTACATAGCAACCCAAGAATCAGAAACTGGATCATATACGTAAGTTTTCATTTGATTATTGCTCAGAACCGTGAAAGAGTTCTGCGCTGTTGGCTGTTCCTGACCGAAAGAACCCCTATTCTGCGTGAACTGTGCCTGTCCTTCACCATTCTGACCACTTTCATTGTTAACTGGGATTCTATTTCCATTATTGCCTACAACTGCTTGATGATTGATGGGTACATTCTGTGCGGAACTGATACTGTCATTCGGACCTCCGCCATTGGGATGTCTGTGTCTTTCTATGTGATCAGCGTTGATGAGCCAGAATGGCCTGTTCTCCCTAGGCCAGCTGTTGAGTCTGTCCACCAAAGCTACATCTCCCCTTGCATCAGTCGGTATTCTAGGAGTAGGAGCATCTGCATCTACACCAAATCTGTTCACCAGGTTGGATTGCGTTGTGCTAATGTCTCCTGATGTATTTTGAAATCTGCTTGCAAGCTTTGGGACTCCAATTGGGCTGGATCCGGCGTACGTTGGTCGTTGAGCCATTGAGATTCCAACGAGAGCGGAGATGACTACCAACAGCTTCTGCAATCAAAGTTACGGATCAAAATGATAGATGAATCATCCTATCACCTATCATCAGTCCTATCACATGAAGAGAACACCACCGATTTGAAAGTTCTGTTCGATTTAGTTTTATAGCAGAAAAAAAGCGCGAATGTTTTCCATATACAGGCCATAGATTAACGACTCTCCACGGTGGATGGCCTATTGGAAGTATCTGGAGAACGAAAAGACAGAACATTCTGAAAATTAGGATGCTTTGATAATTGAACATTCTATATCCGTCTAAAATATTTTCATCGATACAGTGTTGCCACTTCTATCAGAAACAACTAGCAACTTCGTTATTCTAAATAGAGCACCCTGTATTTCATTGAATTTTTAGATTCTCCTTAGAAAGCTGATCTCATCAATGTATCACACTTTGGGTTTAGCAGGAACGATTACAGAGATATAGGGTGTTCAAAATCGAGATTTTTTAATTTCAGAATTTTTTTTTGTCGAAACTATTCATTATTGTTCAAAACGGCTCACATGTCCCTATCTTAACTTCCGATTCACTATCTATTGACATTTGATTACAGGATACAGGGTGATCAGAATTCTGAATCTTGAAGCACCCTGTATTTTTTCCACTCATCAAACTCCAGTAGATAGTCAATGAAATGTTCATCATGAGCCCCAGTTATGTTTAGAATACATTGCAGGTTGTCGTGTATAGAAAATATGAAACAATCAAAATTCGAAATTATATACAAATACAATACAAGTTGAGATGGTTATTGATTGTTTCAATCAGGTGCAACTGAACAGACATAAAAAGAAGTCATGACTCAGAAGAATAAGTGATGAAGAATTGTTTGTGGAAAATAAAATGTATATAAATATATATGTATATAATATATATTCCCATTCTTTATACATTTTTCCAATTCCTCTGAGGATCTACTGAAAATGAAAGTATTTCCGATTTTCAGAATACGTTCTAGTGAGCGTTCATATTGGACATTAACAAAACATTTGTCATTAGGACGTCCAGTTTATATTCGATCCAACGTGATAAAAACATCTTCAAGACGTCCAATTCTGTTCCAACAGACGTTATGAAAACGTCTCATAGACGTATTCTAGATTTTACTGTGAGATGTCACGAACGTCGACGTCTTGAAGACGTTCTGAGACGTCTTGGTTCAATCTGGGATACGATTTTTTTAACTTGCCGTTGAATTGACGACTTGTAAATCGAAATGCTCCAATCGATCATTCTCAATATAGAGTGCGTTCATAAAGTGTGGAAACGCTTCATTATCTTACGATATAATTATTTTCAGAGGTAAAGCTCGGACAGGTCGATTTTGTATTTCAGTCTCCCATCTTTTTTTACAAAAAAATAATTTTTCCCCCACCACCTTACAAGATATGACGTCATCGATATTTTTTTTTAATTGAAAGGGTATATTTTTATATCAAAAATTGAAAGCCCATATTTTTCTGAGTTCAACCATACTACATACGTCATATCTTACACTTCAAGTTACAGTATACTGAGTATAAAAGAAACCAGTGTTCATATTTCTCAACATTCATTTAATTATTTATTATGCAATGGAAACCTGAGAATTACTCAGTAGTTAGTACGAGTATATTTGCCATACTTGAGTAAGCTATGAAAACATCTGAAAGCCCTTAGCAATCAGACAATATGTTCTTAGTTACCATTGCATATGTCATTATTGAATTGATTTGTTGTGTAGCATATCGATTTATAAGTCTGCAATAATAACTTTCTGAAAAATATTACCCTAAAAGCTATTATTTGAAATAACGATGGAGCTGTCAGAAAAACAGAGAAT